TCTCTCTCTCTCTCTCTCTCTCTCCTGGTGGATGATTCGGCATTCAGTGCCCAACCCTCTTTCTTTTTTACACACTTGAGGGCATTTTTGTCTTAGATTTCACTCGGGAGGGGGTAGATGCAAAGAAACAGTGCCAAAGGGTGGGGTGTGAGAGAAAATTCAACCACTAGTCTTGTGTATGATCTTTTAGAAAGGAGGACATATGCAATATTCTCCTAAGAAAAGTTGCTCCATAACAGCATACCAGCCGTTACATTGGGTTCTAAACGTTGGGAAAACAGGCGTAATATCAAACAGAATGCGCACTACATTTTACACATTTCCACTATGATTTAATTTTCTCATTTCATTTTTGCTTTATTAGCTCACAGTAGCCATTTTCGACACCTAATATGGACTACTTATTTATTTTTCTTAAATTATATCTGCCATAAGTTATATAACATTATAACAGCCACTACTCTTATGCCTGATATGGTCCGTGATAACAGATTTTTAAACCTTGATTTCTTACTTTATGCTAACGACGTTAATGACACTAATACAAGCAATCCAAAAATACAATTCGAGGTGACTGAATAATAAGGGGAACCATACAATAATAGCATTAGTTTTGGTCATAATTACACAAACCCTGACATGTGAATTTGAGATGGTTGTCACCTATATGGCATTTGTAGAATGCTAGAAATTGAGATGATTGTCACCCATATGGCATTTGTAGAAAGCTAGAGATAATTGTCACCTATATGACATTTGTAGAGTCCCAAATGACAATCATACAAACATGAATTCACGGTTAGATAAGATCGAAAGCATCATGATTGTCTACGTTAATAATCTGTTAAGCACATGCTAATGTCAATGTCTTCTAACTTGATCAAGCCAGGTACTCAGCCCTAGCCCTAGCCCTAGCCCTAGCCTGAGCGGAGTTACTCAAGTCCAAGTGCACACGGCCGAGTCCTGTATAACCCCATAAAAGCAAAAAATCTAAAAGAAAAAGAAAATAAAAGAAAGTAAAGATCCCCACGTGCATAAGAGAGCTAAGGGGGGTTGGAGACGTAGGCAAAGGCAAGCTTGTGCCAAATCTCCACCAGAATCCACTTCTTCTTTTTTTCCGGCACCATGAGGCCTAAGAATGGGGAAGTACGGAAAGCAATCAAGAGTCGATCCCATTCACCTCCTCTTGCCTCTCCAATGGCATATGATTGAGAGAGAGAGAGAGAGAGAGAGAGAGAGAGAGAAAGGAGTGAGAGAAAGTGTTTTCTCACTCAGTCAGAGATAGGTTGAACACCTCCCATTTTCAGGGAGGCGTACGAAAAAATCAAGACATACTCGCCTCGACCAGATGCCAAGTCTATTGTTAATATAAATGAAAATATAGAAAAAACCCAAAAAGATCAATAAAAAGAAACTACATATTTGATAAATCCAGGCTTCTAACCTTAACCACATAAAAAACCTTTGAAAGTTTCTGTATGTGTGTTTGTGTCAGGTTTAGAGGGAGACATCTTCTTCACTAGTGACATAACAATCTGCATGCACCCTAAGCATTTGAATAAAGAATATATTCACAAAGTATCTTCAGAATTTTAAGGTGTTCATTACATATTATTTACAAAATTTGACTACTTAACTGATACTGCAAATAATCCGAAGCCATAACAAATTCAATAAAAACACTAACACATTCAATAAACGCATACTACACAGATTTACAAATCCTACGATCACCTGTTAAGGGAGAAGCTTCAAGGGCTTTGCAGAACCTTCTTCGCCTTCCTAGAAAACTCCTTTACCAAATCACTATGGGAAAATGTCAAAGGAAGATCTTCCTCCATATCTTCGCTGTGAGAATCCTTGTAAGCTAACCTTTTCTGATTTTTTGAGGTTTCAATGTCTTTTACACCCTCAGCTGTCTCAGGCTCTTCAGGTATATCTCGGTAAAGGTGTCTCAGCACAAAAAGTGCAGTATCAAAATCCCGCCAATAATTTCTAGAAATAAAAAGTTGAATGAAGATCAGAGATACAGACAATTTTCTCAATATTGCTTTCAATTTAATTTGATGACTCAGTTTAATATTTTTTATTGGTAATTGATGATTGTTCTTAAATCAGAATGTACACCGAGCATGTAAATCCTATTCCACGAGTTTGCACAATTTTATCATTGTTCCAGACTAATTCAAAGAACAAAGGAAAGTTTAGTTACTTTGTTTATTATAGTTAGTTGATAGGCATGGAATTAACAAAAAAATAAAAAACCAATGGGCTATGAATAAACCATTCAAGGGAAGTATGCAAAAGCAGAAAAATATATAGGTCGAAATTAAAAAAGATAAGAAGAGGCTGTCAAGAAATATACTGACCCATTACTGCCCTTTTTTTGGTGTTGGAGGCAATTTTGTTTAAAGGAAATATGCAAAGGACAGGCATTTCTTACGCAGGGTCATGTTACATAGTGTACCAAAAGGAGTTCTCCTTTAATGTAAATGCAAGTATCTCAGTGACTAAATTTCAATGGCCAAAACTACCTCCATTAGAAAAACAACCACCAGTAGCTGATGGCATTTCTAAAACTACACAATCAACACCAACAAAAGCATGCATGCACGCACACATTGGGCATAAGGCCCTTGACTTGAGGCCTTCAATTTAGAGCAAAAAATGTTTCTCAAGATGAGATTGTGTCAGATCACACGAGCATGCCTATTAACATGCAAGCACACACACATACATACACAAAAGAATGCATGATGCATGCATGTGAAAACAGGAGCAGAGATGCCACAATTGTTTTCAGCATATAAGCAGATAGTTGATTACTGATTATTTTATTACACTAATTGACTAATCAATAATCTGTAGTTGACTGCTAATTACAATAAGCATGTCTACTGATAATACCAACAGAAAGTATACAACGAGACCATTTACCTTTGGTACAAGCTGGTTACAATTAGTCTTGACCATTGGATGTGAAACTCGGTGGATGCAGTTATTCCATTGACCAAGCTCAAAGTTCAAAAAAAAAAAATTCTCGAACTTTGTAATATACCCACGCGATCAGATTTTACATCAGATGATTATAAGTAATTGTGACCTCCTTGTACCAAAGGTAAATGGTCTCATTGTGTACAATCCCTAATACTAATACACTAAAGTGTTCAGAGCAGTGCATTAAAAATTGCCAAGACGGCTCATAACCGGTGGGGTACCAGTCCAGGTCCAGTTAGAGTTTTTGTTTTTCTTATTAATAATCAAACAAGCGTGCCAGCTCAGGTGGTTCCAAGCCGGCTCGGAACCAGTGGGTGACTAGGTCGACCCATCCGTATGATTGTTCAACCACTGGTTCAGAGTAATCGGACTTACGTGTGTGATCCGATAGCCGATATATACGGGTGCTCAAATGTCGCATCCTGCAATGCCAGAAGGAGAAAAGTTAATGCTCATGGATCAACTCATAAAGAAGTGCTCCCACAAATAAGTATAATTAAATTCTTCAGAACATGGAACTTTAACCATGAAAAAAGCAAGGAAAATGACAGCATTCAATGTAGTATATGGAAACTATGTCTGTATCTTCCAAGCAACAAATCATAAACAGGAAAGGAGGAAAGATCTGAAAAAAAAAAAAAAAGAGGCTGACTTGGGTTCCTTTGGGACATGATTTATGACAACCAATTGATATAATTGATATTGACATTTTGTTACAAGCCTTCTTTATCCCAGACAAGTTTTCATGTTTCAGACCATGGAGGTTTCTAAACCACCATGGGGGCAAAAAAAATAAATAGGAAGGTCCAGCATCAATGTGTACCAGCTTTGATGCATCCTAACCAAGGTTAAAAAACACGGATGATAAGGCAACCGCCTAGGCGGGTGCCCAGACACAAAGGCGGCCTGCATTTGGGAAGGGGCAGATCCTTGCGTTTGTTGGACCCCCCACACCTCCTCCAATTTTATTGTATATAGAGTTGACTTTTTTTTATTAAATACGTAAGTTTTGTATATAATAGATTGTTCAAAGGTCGAAAGTACAGATCAAACATAAACATTTACAAAATCGAAATTGCAATGATAAGTAAAACATACACATCAAAATTGCAATGGTATAACACAAAATCGAAAAAAACATAGTACACATGCAAGTATTTAATAAGCAATTGTCAAACTAACTAATAAAAAAAATTATGCGGATAAAAGTTATGGTTTATGAGTCATATAAGCAAACTCATATATCAAACTTAAAAAAAACAATATTCGTTGGGTTTGGGGGCAATGGACTTTTTCCATTGAATTGATTTCCCAAATACCCGATCGAAATATCCAAATAGGAATATAAAAATCCAAATAGTTAATAACATATCAAATAAATATAATAAAGTATCACAAAAAAAAAAAACCCAAATAGCGAAGGATAACATTATAAGACATTGTGAAAATAAAAATACATAACCTAATAAAAACTATTAAAATATACCAACCTTCTTGAAGTGGATTTGATATTGGGCCAAACAAAAATATTTTGGTTCCCAAATTGCCTCTTTTACAACCCCTCAAAAAGATTGGGGATGAATATACTTTAATTTCATGACCATTCGAAGAGGTTGAAAAAAATTTGATCTCTCTATAAATCTTCAAATCTGGTATTTTTCAAACTTTTCTCACTCTAAACTTCACTAACAATGTTTTTGGGGGCAAGAATGGCCCCCAAAACTCTTTTCCCCCCCTATTTAGGGGGTAAAATGGTGTTTTTATCCAATGGCTGAGTGCCATTTTCGGCCAAGGGTCGAGGTGGCGCCTAAGAGCCCGCCTTTTACGCCGCCTAGGTGCGCACCTAGATGGAGCCACCTAGAACATACGGCCTAGTCCACGCCTGGGCAGTTTGGACAAATGGCTGCCTAGGTGGCAAGAAGGCCGAATTTTCATTCACTGATCCTAACAGGTTCGGAGTTAACAGTTTCGTCATACATAATATATACTGTCAAACTCCTCTCTCCCCCCCCCCCAAAAAAAACATAAAAAAAAAAAAAGAAAACAGGCTGACTTGGGTTCCTTTGGGACATGATTTATGACAACCAATTGATATAATTGATATTAACATTTTGTTACAAGCCTTCTTTATCCCAGCCAAGTTTTCATTTTTAAGACCAGGGAGGTTTCTAAACCACCATGCGGACATAAAAATAAATAGGAAGGTCCAACTTCAATGTGTACCAGCTTTGATGCATCCTAACAGGTTTGGAGTTAACAAAACTTTCTCCCCCCCCCTCCAGAAAACAACAAAAAAGGTTCAGATTTCTTAAATGGTTCAAAAAATGCGAAGGTGGCCATGGGTCCAGTCCACCTAGGGGGGGCCTCATGATGGAGATTTGGGGGGTTGTTGGAGGTTGGTCTAATACATAGTATAATATATTTTGCTAGCTTTTTTTCATGGGCAAGGTTGGAAGGCTCAACTCTAAAAATGCTCGAAAGAAGTCCACGTTGATCACGCTTTTCAGGTAAATCTGCTTGAGGATGAGAATTCTTGTTTTCTAAGCCTCGCGCGTATTCCCACGTGTGCTCCTATCTCGCATGCACTTACACACCGAAGGCGTCGGGGGTGTTGTTCATATACATACTAATATAAAAAGGAAAATGTTTTGATAGGGCTGCAGCCCTATCAAAATAAGTAAAGCCTTACTTCAAAACTCACCGAATATTGTAATTCTAGCATCAGAGAACCTTGAAATCGATCATTTCGGCCTTGACCATTATGTTTGTGAAAAACAATTAGGATTTCAAGCCCTAAAAATAATATAATTATAACAAATTATCTCGCTCGTCCATTTCATCTTAAAAATAAGTGTTGACAAATCTGCAAGATCTGTACCATTTTTTGAACATCAAGTTTCATAGTCGGAGTTGAAAATTGATATTATAGCCATCATGGATATTTCTTATGCCCAAAGTGCTTTCTGGACGAGGATATGAGGTGAAGCTTTACTTTGTTTTCATAAAGCCTGGGTCTTATAGATAATGCATCCTATAAAAAAAACCAACGTTAAAGAGAGAAACGGTAGAGACCTATCATCTACTCTCACTCTCTCTCTCACTACGTTATGTAATAATAATGTAGCATTATTATATATTATTAAATTACCATAGTACAATACTATATAATACTATGCAATATATATTATATAGTCAACAAAATATATAGTACTAATTTACAATAGTACTATAATATACAAGCAGCACTTTGGTACTATAATAATATAAAGTAATAAACAGCAAGTACTATAATTTACTATAGTAGTATAGTGCTATAATGTATGAATATTTTTATAGTAGTATAGTCCTATAATGTATAAATATTTATAGTGCTATAGTACTATAATGATCAGTACATAGTAATAATGGCTAGTAATATATAGTGCGATATAATATATAATACTAATTTAACATAATACGTTATAATATGTAAATAGTATTATGGTACTATAATAATATGCGATATAATATATAATACTAATTTAACATAATACTTTAAAATATGTAAATAGTATTATGGTACTATAATAATATAAAGTAACATAATAAAAAGTACTATTAAATATATAAGGAAAATTGTTTCATGCGGGCTGGGACCGCATTCCTACATATGTGGTCCAGAAAATGTAAAGCATCCATCTTAAAGATGGATGCAAGTAGGTGTTTCATCTAAAAACAATGGAAACTAACGGTCCAAATGCTTTTTTTACTAAAATTATTATTTTTAGTTTTTTAAATTTATTTATTTTTTCATATTCAAGATCTCCATGTGTAACAATCCTAAAAATTTCAAAAAAAAAAAAAAAAAAAAAAAAAAAAAAAAAAGGGGGGAAAATGATGCTTTTAATAGGTGATGGTCTGATTGAGTATGATGGTCCTTGGGGACCATCACTATTTTCAAAACTTTTACTTTGGTTTAACTTTTACTTTGCCTGCTTTTGCCTCCTGTTGCTTGCAGCTGGCAA